TCTATTTCATAACTTGCGGTTATTTCAAAAAGTTATACTTCGGCGAAAAGGAAGACGACTTGGGGAACGATTCTGAGAACACCATCGTGACGTAGAACACAAGAAAAACATTATCTCTCAAATTAGCCTCCCATTCGTACATTTTATGCCAGTGTTCTTTGTAAGTAAAGGCTGTTTTTCATACAGGAGTTCAAATGATAATTCTTGTGCAAACAAACAAACAAATGTTCATTTTAAGTCGTATTTTGTTTTTCCCCAGTTCAAACAGTAAGCACAGAAGTTTACCTGACAGCGACAATACAGGAGGACTGTAGCAGACGTTCAGAAGTTGCTGCGAAATTTCCAGAAATGGTTAGATAATCTACTTGATCCATATACTGGAGTTTAAGGAACACTGCCATGAGATTTATCATGAAAAGTGAATCTTAATCAATCTGTTCTTGAATGAAATCTTAATATTTCTGTTAAAAAAATAAGATATTCTGAACGATCCTCAATATGTGACAAGCATTTGAATATACGTTTTTTCTTGATATGTCCTTTTAGGCTTGTCAAATTGCCTTCAGGTTTGGCTGCTCATCCGCCAACACTGTGAACACCAGGTAAGTTACAGGTTGTTGTTTTACACTGAAACAACAAACGCAAATTTGTGTTTTGGAAGGGGGGAGGAGCTTTTTCTCAGTGTGTTGTATTTTAGCGGTAAAACTGGTTTTTCTTCTCGAGCAAATCTTATTTAAGAGCAAATCTAGCAAATCTAGCAAATCTTATTTAATGCAAAAGCAAATTTTGACCCACATCCACATCACTGGTCTTTTTGTCCTTTCGTTCTTTTTCAGGCGCTGTAGGGAAACAGAGGTAAGAATTTGCTGCCAGTAGGATTGTGTCGACGTAATGTACCAGATGTGGTTTCATCTTAACAAAAAATTCCAATCAAAACTGATGAAATTCTAAGCGTTTTATAATTATTTCTATGCTTTCTCAATTGTAGGACTTATGAAGATGGAAGAGGTGTTTGCTACGTAAGTTAAAGCTAAGACATTGAGGTCATGTTAGTGTGGCCAGATATTATGTAATCTCACTTTACCTCTACTTTCTTGTAGAAAATAAACGCTTGCAGCAAATAAAAAGGAAATATGTAGTTCTACATAAAAATAGCATATTGCATCAGTGGCAGATACAATAAAATAGAAGAGGAAGTTAGGCTTGATAAGGTCTTTGTCCTGGGATCATGTCCTAAACTGCTCTATGGATTTTCTTTCGGTTGTCCCTGGTTCAACTGCCTGGCTTCACTTCAATGATCGCGAACTGTTCTGCACCCGGTTGATATTTGCTTTCTAAACAATTGATTTCGCGCATTTTTGGCCGTCTTATTTTCTTGATACTTTATTTTCTAAAGGCGGGTTTAGGAGCTGAGTACAGCAGCATTTTTTTCCTGCGTTTATTTGTCAAAAATTGCACTACCAATCGACAATCTTCGTGTTGCAGTTTGTAGCTTCGGCGAATATGCTATGAGCCTCGATCACTCCACTGAACATGATAGTTTCAAAAGCAGAGAACAAAATGTTAGTGATAACAAAGTATTAGTAATAAAAAATGTTAGTAATAATAAGAACAAGAGATTATAAACTATTTTTCATC